AAGACGAGAAGATAAGGGAGGGCAGGGATGCTAGATGAACGGAAACAGAACAACCAGAATGATGATAACGAGAAAGTCAACACATTCTGAAAAATGTAGCCAATGTCACCAAAAAATACGTATAGAAATTGTTAAACCAGAAACTAATTTGCTGTGTAAACTTTCGCATACACACACACACACACATCATTTAAAAAGAAAAAAATACAGACTTTCTTCATTTCCAAGTGGATCTGTTGTTGTTAGGTGCCACCGAGTCGGTTCTGACTCACAGCAACCCCATGCACAACACAATGCATCACTGTCCTGTGCCAGCCTCACAATCATTGCTGTACTTGAGTCCACTGTTGCAGTCACTGTGTCACTCCATTTTGTTGAGGGTCTTCCCATCACCATATTGTATTTCAGGATACATCTTGAAATGAGTCATAATGTGTCATACTATCTCCTGATCTTAGCTCTACTAATTTAGTCACCAGGAATCCTGGTGGCAGTGGTTGAGTGCTGGGCTGCTAACCTAAGAGTCAGTGGTTCAAACACACCAGCTGCTCTGTAGGAGAAAGACACAGCAATCTGGTTCCATAAATGTGACAGCCTTGGAAAGCCCATGGGGCAGTTCTACTGTGTCCTATAGGGTGGCTATGAGTTGGAATCAACTGCAGTCAGACTGGGCTTTCTAGAACCAGCTGCGGTGGCTCCTCCATAGCTCCCAAGATTATGCCCAAATGCCTCATGGTAGCGTCTCTCCTCATTCACGTCACAACATTGCCTGTCTTGCACCACTTCATTCTCTGCCTGGCACAGGCTTCCCTCTTGGCCTCTTGACTTCACCAATTTCCATTTGCCCTTAAGCCTCTGTCCAACTGCCCTCCCATGCATGGTTGCCCTCCCAGGCACTCCCACAGTCCCCATAGTTCCATCACAGCACTGACACGCATACTTATTGCACTTGTCCATTTACTCATCCCAAGGAGCTCTGGTGGCACAGTGCCTAAAGCATTTGACTGCTAACCAGAAGGTTGGCAGTTCAAACCCACCAGCTACTCCATGGAAGGAAGGCTGGACAAACTAAGTCCGTAAAGATTTACTGCCTCGGAAAACCCAATGAGGGTCGCTATGAGTCAGAATCAAATCCATGGCAGTGGGTTTGGTTTTGCTTTGGCATCCCCCTTCAGCTTAGCTGCTCCAAGTGATGTCTTCAGGCCAGCAGCCTCACAGCCCGATGGAGAAGTAGAATCTCTGGTCAAGCAGCCCTCCAGGATCAGATGTGCATTTTAACAAGATACCCAAGTGATTCTTATGCACATTAAATCTGTGAAGTACTAATCTCTTCACAGCAGGTTCCCTGGACGTAGGGAACACTGTCTCCCCAGAGATTAGCCCTGTGTCTGTCTTCGAGTAAATAGAGATTTAATTAATCAATGCATCAGTCTAATCTCATGTTCACAAACACATCATACAAGAGAAAATGAAATTGCCTTTTATCAGAATCAACAGAATCAGATCTACAGGCTGTGTCTTTCATCACAGGCTTCCTTCTAGACGCCTCCTCACTCACCATACTTCCTTGTTTCTCCATCAAGTCCTGTTTTCTCCATGAAATTTATAAACAGCTCTTCTATTATTACTTCCTATGCTTGTTTGTTTCATTACATTTTTAGCACTCTAAATGACAGCACAGACATGGTTAGAGTGTCAGGGACATTTCTGAATTTGTTTGTAAAAATCGTTTATCTGCTAATAGTTTGAAAATTATCCTCCGACTCGACCACTTCTCTAATTCATGTGTAGCAGACAGTAGGGGATTCTCCTGCATCGTGGTAAATCTTACTTGATCAGCCTGGTGTTGCTACAACAGAATGTAACACTGCCTGGTCCTGCGCCATCCTCACAACCAGTCTGTCGGCCTAAATGGTCTAAGCCTCCCTCTATGTTTATATTGTGAGCAAGTCCAACATTAGATGATTCATCAGCTTTGCAGAGAGGCTCTTCATACTCAACTTTTCAGGCCTCCTCACTTCTCCTTAATGGAGTATCATATTCCATCTCAAAGTCATCATGGACCTCAAATCCAAAGGCATAAAAAATCCTCCACAATCCACTTGGTTCTAACCTGGCTCTAAAGCCCATCTCCCCCTACCTCTCTCCTCAATTTTCTTCCCAGCAAGTTATTAGCACTGAGCTGCTACGCAGTCCGCAGCAGAACCAACCTCAGAACTAAATTGTTTAAATTCAAGGGTAGCTTTGGGTCATGCTTACAGCATTGTCTACATTTGGCCATCTGATCTTATACAGACGACAGCCTAGAAAACCCTATGGGGCAGTTGTACCCTGTCACATGGGGTCACTGTGAGTCGGAACCTACTCATACACCCAACCTCCACAGATCTGGCTAATGTTTGTATCTGTTACAGGTCACATGACCAACAACCTTTTAGTATGATAATGTTAGAGGGCAGGACTGATGTGCTCTTGGTAAACACTTGGTAAAACACTGTTACAGCAGGCTTTTCTTTTGCTGATGTTCATTGTGTTTCAGGATGCAGGATGCATAATGTGAACAGAAGTGTACCAACAGATGCAACGCAGAAGTTAATGATGGCCCATCTGTTTTAAGTATGTAAAAACTAGCTTTGAGGGCACCATGTGGGTTTTGGGGTCTCTGGTTGGAGATAATATTCCAAGGCAGCATCTCCCTTGCTTTTGCTGTGTCACGTGGGAGTGACGCCTGAACTCCGTCCGCTCTGATCCCCAACCTATTATCAAAGCACCAACCTCAGAACTAAGTTGTTTAAATTCAAGAATAGTTTTGGGTCGTGCTTACAGCATTGTGTACACCAGACTTGCTGGCTCGTGTTGGCTAAATGATGACAGATAAACAGGCAAGCTCACATGCCCAAAGGGGCCAGGGAATGCCAGTGACTAAACAGAGAGGGAGTGTGGGACACGGGAGCACGCACAGCCCCCGTACAGGGCTGGCCTGCTGCCTCACTTCCCCATTTTCCTCTTTTAGTACAGGGACCCAGGGTTGTCAGGGCTGCTGATTAAACCTGCTATTGCTAGGTGCTATCAAGTCGGTTCCAACTCTTAGTGACCGCATGTATGTACAACCGAACAGAATGTTGTGGGTCCTATACCACCCATAAGGATCTGGCCCTCTTAAGAACATGTCCAAATTCAGGTTTTACTCAATTCTTCAATTTTCAGATATTGGTAATCAATTCAAACTTTCAGAAGACACTTTGCAGGCCAATTATTATGAGCCAAACCAAACACTTCTTGGGAGTCAAATAGAACCAGATCTGCAACTTCTGCATTAAGGAGCTGAGAAATCAGGAACTTTTTTCTACAAACTGTGATGCTGATGGCAGGCATTAAGAGCTCTTGCTCCAGATGGGCTGGTCTGGCTTCCAGGTCCTGGCCTTTTCTCTGGGTGACCTTGGGCAATTTTCTTATGCTCTATAAACCTCAGTTTCCGCACCTGTACAGTGTCTGTGATCTTAACACCTCCTCCCTAGGTTTGTTTGGAGAACCCTTAGCATGACATGAGCCTCAATACCTGCTCACTCTTCCTAATTAGTTTCTCCTTATAATAACAGAATTACTCAAGCGCCAAACACTGCACATGATTTCATATTTCCAGATATTTCATTCCTCCCTTCATAAAAGCACTTGAAATATTTCTGGGTTACCTATTCTTTTTCGTGTATCTAAACATCCAGGATGACAAATATCTACCGCTTGTCTAAGGGAAGGGGAGCCCTGGTGGCGCAGTGGTGAAAGCACTTGCCTGTGTGAACTCACGAGCACAGGACAAAGACGTGGCAATGTGCTCTTGTAAAGATTTACAGTCTTGGAAACCCTCTGGGGCATTATACTCCGTCCGCCAGGAGACCAGAAGACTCAACAGCAGAGGTTTCCTGTTTGATCCAAAGGCAACTTTAAAAACACATGTCTATATATTTGTTGCTGAGGTGATACACAGCACAATGTACACCGACTCAGCAATTTCTACGGGTACAATTCAGTGGCACCGATTCCATTTAAGTTGTGCAAACATTCTCACCCTCCCGGCGCTGCTCGTCCCCCGTTAACTCGGCGCTGCCTCAACCCAGAGTCTATCTAATCTTTCGAGTTGAACATTTTCTGCTTCTGAAATCTGGCCCCAAACCAGCCCCTCCCGGCGCCCCGCTTCCCCAACACCGCCACTTAGTCTATTATTAAAGTTCTGTTGGGTTCACCTTGCCGGAACTATCCAGACTATCTGGGAGTAAACCTTTCTTTTCGGACCTCTTTCTGGGGGCTGTTTACAGAACTCTCCACTTGCCTATTTATGGTAAGGACCAGGCGCGGGCTTCCTCCCCTCAACCCCAACTTCCCTGCTAGGAAAACCTTTCTCCTCCGGCGATTCCTAAAACCAGGCCACGACTGCAGCGAGCTCTACGTCCGGTCGTTGCAAATTCTCCGTGCCAACCC